CAAATTTGCAAAATTAGAGCAAGACCAATTACCTAAAAAAGGGCTTCGTCAGCATAAAAGAGATGCATTAGTTAGGGACCACCATTGGGGATTTGAATACCGTGAAAGAGAGACTTGACACAAGAAGATATTAAAACAACATTCAGAACATCCGTGACAATAATGAACAAGAACGGTGAGAGGGGATCACCTTGACGAACACCTTTCATAATAGGGAATTCTTTAGTAGCCGAGCCATTTATTAAAACCGAGGCTCTAGAAGATGCCAAACACTCCTTAATCTGATTCAGGGAATCATGAGAATGTGAAGCTAGTCGATGATTCATATTATAGTTTTGAATCATGTTTGGATATTGTAAGAGATGACAAAAAGAAATTGGCTTTGTATGCTGAGAAACAACAGATGTTGTTGAAGGAATTTGAGAGTTATTATACATGTGGTGGATTGAAAAGCAAGACGGATGGTGAAGTTGTATGCAAGCTTATGGGTGTTTCTATTCCTATTCCAAAAGAGATTAATATTCATGTTCCTCAAGTTCAAAGCAACAAAGGTTCTGGAATCAAGAAAAGAATTCCATGTGTAGGTGAAGCAACATATGTTAATTCTAAAAAAAGAACAAAGAATGTGCTCAGGATTGCACAACGAGTTCCTCACAATTTAAGTACAAGTCCAGTTAGAATTGTAGCTGCTCAATCAAGAAAACACATTTAGGGTTTTTTTTTCAATATTTTTTTGTTTCTATTCATTTATGAATATATGCAGATAATAATCATAAACAATAATAATTCATGTATGAATAATACAATATTATTGTGTCATTATCGATTTATCAGAAGCTACTACTTAACACATTTATATGGATATGGTAAATTGATATGTGAAATACCTGTTAATTATTAATGAATATATCATATGTATATATTTTTTTAATTTAGTAATAAATAAGTTATATGGATATGGTAAATTGATATGTGAAATACAGAAATAAGCAAACTTGTTTCTATTTCATAATCATTTAATACAAAATAATAAAACCTGTTCACAAGCATTTCACAAACTATTTAAAAGATGTTCAGTAACACTTAACAAACTATCTAAAACCTGTTCACAAACTTGTTTCACAAAAGCATCTTACATTTCCTTCAAAATCATTCAACTTTAACACAAACTGTTCTCCTATACCATCACACTTCATCACAAACAATCATCAATATTCTTTTAACCTTTTTTGAATTGTTTGCATCGCCTTGTATGCAGGAGCGGTACGCACTTTGAATTCCACATTTTGATATTCATCAAGTTCCAACACCTTAGCCTTCAACATGTTTATTTCAGAAGTTGGCATTCGGTGCTCATAACTTTGCCTGAGCTTCTTTAAAGTAGTTTGTTGAATTACACTTTCTTTATGAAGACATTGTTTCCAATTTGAGATTGGTTGTCCCATATAGGTCTCCATATGTCTCATTGCAAAGTGTTGGATTAGGTGTCTAAGGCTATAACTATAATTGGTATGTACTTGATTTGATAGTAGCATGGTCCTTTTGGGTTGCCTTCACTCATGCAACTTGACAAGATGACTGGTGGAGAGAGAGTAGGATTTATTATTCGAAATAATAAATTGGTACTCAAAATGATTTTATTATTATATTATAAGATTAATATATTATTTGGAAATCATATTATTCATTGGTAATTAATCAGAAATTAATTTGATATTAATTTTGGGATTAAAGGAACTGATTATTTACGGAGGGACTGTTTTGCAAATCATTGATAGTTGTGAAACTAGGCCTAGGGACTCCTTGATGGAGTGGACGAAATTTATAGCTTGGTCTTATAAGATTTCGTCCAAGGCATCTTATGGTGGTCCATGGGTTGCTTTGGGCTTAAGGTAAGAATTAAGGTTTCCTTATTCAAGTCTAGCTTCAAGACTAAACAACCTAGCCATATATATAAACCCCTAAACACTTGGAATTTTGGCTTATGCTTGAAAGAAAGAAACCCTGGCCGAAATTTCATAGTCTCTCTTTTCATCCTTTGCATTGAGTGTTTGTGACTCCATTAGAGGTGCAACACTTGGGGCACTAAGCTTTCAAGAGTCAAGGATCTTCAAGGAACTCTTGTTATTACTATATAACAAGTGAGGTAATATTCTAACCCTAATTTCATATGAACTTTGATTCTTGTATGCTAGATGTAGGGTTATTGCTTTGGCGTTCTATTTGCATGTTCAATTAGTGGAAAACTTAGATCCAAAGCAATTAGGGTTGCATGATCACATAGGAATGTAGATATGCTCATAACCCATCACAAAGACCCCACAATCAACTTTGTTTTTAACTGTTCTCCATGGAGTTTCAAGTCGTTGGGGTATGAAACTTTCTTTTGAGATGACATTGGATCTTGGATGCTTTATTTCTTTAAAGTATCTCACAAACAAAATTTTCCGATCATTAAATAAAATAAAAGTTAGATATTTAATAAAGTGGTTCTTATACGTTGTTGTGAATTAGGTACTTACCAAAGGTTTCAATAGTACTCCATATTTCCCTTCATAATCCCCCTCAACTGCACTGTTGTCTAGAATTTCAATTGATGGTTTCTTCAAGTTGAAGACAATCACAAAAATGTGAGCACTTCTAACAACTGCAAAGAATAGTTGTTTTTATGTATATAATGGTAAGTATTTTGTTGAGAAAATATATATAAAAACAAGTTTAACTAACATACCATGTCAATATCTTTTTTATGTTCAATATTTTTTTGTACCCATCAGTGCTTTCAGAAAGTTCTCCTTGAACTTTTCTTACTTTCTTTCATCAGACAATGTTGAAGATACATAAGCATTCTATAACCAAAATAATTTTAAAGTATTAGTAAGTTGTTAATCATAAATGAATACATCATGTTGGCATATTAATCGTAAGTGAATACTAAAGATATTTATTTTTTTATTTTTATATTCATAAATGAATACATCATTTTGTTATAATCATATGTCAATTGCATATAAAAAACTATCTTAAATGATAGTAAATAAATCTAATATTCATAAATGAACACATTATATTTGTATATTCATTTATCAATAGAGAACACGAACTTACTGACGCTTCAACTTTCAAGAAAAGTTTGTATGGTGAATTTCCGACATCCCTTCCCAGTTCTTGGTGGTTAAGTAAATCACCCCAAGTGCCTAAAACTTCTGCAAAAATCTATGTGTTTCCATATAGACTTTCCATAATGCTAATTCTGTTACCTGACCATATTTTGTCTGGACAACCATATCTCTGCAAATATATAATCAAAATTTCATACATTATTATCTATATAATAATCATATATGAATATGTCTATAAACTAAAGTTACATACGATGCATTCCCTTGCAAGTTGAACAACCATTCCCAAACATTACTCTCCTGATTTTTCAGTTTAGGTTTTGTGTCTATTATCATGCATTTGTAAGGTTATTTGAAAGCATTAGCAGGCTTCTTCTCTCTTGATTCATCTAGATCATGCTTTGATGGTCCTACTTCAGTAGAAATTGCTACAGAGATTGGATTTGGATTAAGAACATTTTTGTTTGCTAATCTGATCACAACCCTCTGATGGTCTTCTTTGATTTGTTTCTTTCTAAGTTTTATTTTGGTGAAGATTCATTGTATTTTTTACTTGAAGTTTGATCTGAATCTTGACTGAGAACTAGACTAAAGCTCGGACGAGTATTATCTTCATTTTCTGATTTTTTTACCTGCCAGAAGAGTTATCATATAAATAATTATATGTTAATTATAATATTTTTTTATATATTTTATTCATATGCGATTCTTGATCATTCCAATCATATATGATTTTTTAAATATCTTTCCAAATTGTTACCTTCTTCATTTCGTTTGTCTTGTTAGCTTCTCCTCCTTTTTTATTTTCATTTTTAGACTTTCCCTTGCCAGAAAGATACACAACATATATGCATATTTTTATATATATTTAAAATATTGCATTACTTATTCATAAATGAGTATAAATATTTTAATATGTTAATTTATGAACAAGTAATGCATAGTATTACTTATGAACAAGTAATTCTATCTTTTACTTATTAATAACTAAAAATTGTGTTATTCAAAAATTCAATGTAAGCATTACTGACATTGTGTTATTCACTTGTGAATAAGTAATATATTTAGTTATGAATAAGTAATGCATATCATTACTTATGAATAAGTAACATTATATTTTTTATTTATTCATATATTGTCTTATTCATTTGTAAATAATCAATCTTATTATATTCACTTATTAGTGAATCAACCATTTACCTCAATCATTTGCATTTCCTTTCTCAACTTCTATTTTTTTATCTCCACCTCCATCATTTCCTTTTTGTCTTCTTAGCTTCTGCTCCTCCTTTATTTCCATGTTCAGACTTTCCCTTGCCTGAAACATATACATCATATATGAATATTCTATCTTTTTTTCTACTCATTTATATAGTGTCTTATTCACTTATGAATAAAAAAATGTTATTAAAAATGAATATAAGTATTGTAATATATTCACTTAATAGTGAATCATTCATTTACCTGTATCATCTCCCTTTCATTTCTCAACTTCTCCTTGTTTATGTACATCTTCTGAGTTCCCCTTGTCTGCAAGATCCATATAATATTATATATTAAGTATATTTAATTAATGAATTAGTGAATCTATAATAACATTTTTTATTTGTAGATAAATAAGATGATGATAGTAACATACCTTGAATAACTTGACTGATCAGAGTATTAGTTTTACTTCTAGTCATTGGTGACCCTGGTTAAAATTTAATAAAAAAAATTGTTATTGTGTATTAATACTTTTATAAAATAAAAGTAAGTCAAAATTTATCTATATTAATATTATCCAAAATAGTGTTTATTTCAGGTTCATTCCATATTTCATCTTCTTAACTATTTAAACTTGAAAATCCAATTCCAAGGACATTATCCATAATGTTTTCAAATAACTTTATCCAACAGATTTTGTTTTGTTTCATTTTGGTGACTAGTCTTTCCATGATTGTTTGTTTCTTTAGTCTCATCATCGTTTTTCTCTTCATGATTTTCATATTCATTGATTTCTCCATTTTTCTCTTTTTCTTCAGTTTCACCTTCTTTTTTATTGTTATCTCCATCATTCTTTATTCCTTCATTCTCTGCTTCATTTCCATCAAGAAAATAATCTACTTCCGGTTGACTTCCATCATTATCATTGTCTTCTTCACCATTTCCCTCTTTATCTTCAATCTCTTTTTCATCATCTATTTTTGACCCATTACTGGTGTGAAATTGATACCTTCAAAACCAGTTTCATTACTTGGAAATTCAAAAAAAAAATTGTGCTTTCAGTTTTTTCTTCAAGAATTATATTCATGATCTTTTCTTTGAAAATCCTGAAACTTTCCTTTTTAGGGAACTTTGTTATTGATTCATCCAACTTTGAATTCAGCTTTTCTTCATCCTCTCAAAACTATCAAGCATTTTTGATAGTTTTAATTCATATGCATATGTAATAAAAAGAAATATGATTAGAAATTAATATAATAAATTAGTGTAATCATATATGATTAACATATTCAGAATAATGACCTCAACAGAATCATCTTCATCTTTATCACAATCATTGTTTTCCAGATCTGAATCTCCTTCATCTTGTTCATTAACAAATTCTTCATTTAATTCTCCACAACCAAATATACCTATTTCTTTTTCAAATGTCTCTCGATGTCTAATCTTCTCTGAACTCTAATAACAAATTGTTGGATGTTTACGTGTTACTGTTAGAGCTTCCGAGTGGATTTTATCAACATAGAACAACTGCAGATAAATTATAATTAATTGATATTCATAAATGAATTTTTACAAAATATAACATTATTAATATATATATATATATATATATATATATATATATATATATATATATATATATATATATATATATATATATATATATATATATATATTTGTATATGAATAAGTAATGCAAAACATTACATGTGAATTATTCATATATGAATATGTGCATTCATTTATGAATAATTAAGATTATTATAATGAATATAATCATTATAATATATATTCAGTTATGAATATCTTACAACCAAGAAAGCGGACTGTCCAACAAAGTAGTTGTTATCCGAGTATGGTATGCGTGAGTTCTTTGTTCTAACGAGATAGTCCAAAAGATAGTTGCACCAGTCTATCTAGCTGATATATGTTTTTTTTAAATATAACTTAAAGGGAACATGTTGCATCTTCCCATTGAGGTTGACTCACAAAATGTGTTTATAAAAAGAACTAAGAAGTTCAATTTGAAATTAAAATCAGCTTCTGTGGTACGAACAATAACTTTTTTGATTGCATTCAGTCGGATTATTGCTCTTTCTTGGAACTGTTGCTTCCATTCATCATAACTGATATCATCTTTAGGCCATTGATCCAGTTGTGTAAGTATTGTTCCACTAGTTGGAATGCCCAACATGTCATGAACAGACTGTGTTGTTACTTTCAGTTCCTTTCCTTCAACATCTATCACCATTCTTTCATAATCAAAATTTTAAAGAATATAAAATCCTAGCTTCAGTGGTATATCTGTCATTGTCATTTTTAACAGACTTTCAAAGCCCATAGATCTTACACATTCTTTTTGTTGTTTGCTCAACCCAAGGATTATAGAGAATAATGACTCTGGTGAACATCTGTTTTTCATGGAGTAAAATTCCTTTACAAATGGTTTTTTCGTCTCTTTCTTAATTTGTGACTCCTTTTTCTTTGCCTTCTTTGATGGACGACTACTTTCAAAATAAGAGTCTGAATCATGTAGTTGTCGTTTTTCAGGAGTTTATGTTTTTGCTGGACTTTTTTTGCTTTGATGCTTTGTTTTCTTTGCTGTTATCATTTTTTTTTTCTGGACAGGGTAGAAGTATTCATATATGAGTAGTGCGAATATATAACAGGGATATACAAGTTATTGATATATGAATATGATATATAAGCCATATATAGTTATTCATATATGAATATCCACGTTGATTTATTCATATTTGTATATTATAAAAATATAACAGGTATATACAAGTTTATTCATATATGAATAGAACAAAAATATAGTATGGATATTCAAGTTATTCACATATAAATATAATATATATGATAGGAATTTTATACCTTTGACATTTTTCCTCTTCAAATATGTTCTCTCATTGTTGTTGGCTCTTTATCAGAAACTTCAATCTTCTTACCTTAATTCATTAGTGGGTAGAATATAAATGAATTTGAAATACATTTTACAAAGGAACTATTTTATATTCATAAATGAATAATTGAATAGAACATATATATTCATATTTTCTATTCACATATGCATATATACGTTATATTCATATGTGAAGATACTAAAGATCAATCACCAATTTCAGATTAAAAACATTCCAAAAGAAAAAAAGATAAACATATG